CCCCCCCCCTTTTTAAAAAAAAAAAAAAAAAAAATTTTTTTTTTTTTTTTTAAAAAAAACCCATAATAAAATTAAAAAAAAAATTTTTTTTTTTGGGAATAATATAATTTTTAAAAATGTTTCCCCAATTTTAAATAATTAATAAATAAAAAAAAATAAAAAAAAAAAAAACCCCCCCCCCTTTTAAAAATAATTTTTTTTTTTCCCCCCCTTTTTTTTTTTTTTTTTTTTTTTTTTTTAAAAAAAAAAATAAATAAAAAAAAAAAATAACCCCCCCCCCCAAAAAAAAAAATTTTTTAAATTAAAAATTTAAACCCAATAACCCCAAATAAAAAAACCCCCCTTTATTTTTTTTTTTAAATCCCCCCCTTTAAAAAAAAAAAAAAAATAATTTTTTAAAAAACCCCCCCCCCAAAAAAAAATTTAATTTTTCCATAAATAATCCCCCCAATATTCCAAAAATTTTAAATAATATAATAATAACAAAATAATAATTAAAAAACCCCCCCCATAAAATTTAAAAAAAAAAAAAAAACCCCCCAATTTTTTTTGGGGGGAAAAAACCCCCCCCCCAAAAAAATCCAAAAAATTTTTTAAAAAAAAAAAAAACCCTTTTTCCCCAAAAAAAAAAAAAAAAAAAAAAAAAACCCCCCCCCCCCCCCCCCCCAAAAAAAATCCCAATTTTAAAAATTTTAATTTTTTTTAAAAAAAATTAATTTTTTTTAAAAAACCCCCCCAAAAAAAAACCCCCCCCCAAAAAAAAAATTTCCAAAAACCTTTTTCCCCCAAATCTTTTTTTTTTTTTAAAAAAAAAAAAAAAAAAAAATCCGGGAAAAAAAAATTTTTTTTTAAAAAAAAAAAACCCCCAAAAAAAAAAAAATTTTTTTCCCCCCCCTTTTAAAAGGGAAAAAAAAATTTTTTAAAAAAAAAAACCCCCTTTTTCCAAAAAAAAAAAACCCCCCCCCAAAAAAACCCTTTCCCCTTTTAAAAAAAATTTAATTTTTAAAAATTTTTTTTTAAAAAAACCCCCCTTTTAATAAAAAAACCCCCCTTACCTTAATTTTATTTTTTAAAAACCCCCTTTTTTTAAAAAAAATTTTTAAAAAAAAAATCCCAAATTTTTTAAAAATAATAAACCCCCCCATAATAACCCAAATTTTTTTCCCCCTTTTTCCCCCCTTTCCCCCAAATTTCCCTTTAACCCCCCCAAAAATTTTCCCCCCCCCCCCCCCCAATAAAAAAAAAAAAACCCCCCCCCCTTTTTTTAAAAACCCCCCCAAAAAAAAAAAAAAACCCCCCAGCCATCCGAAAAAAATTTTTTAAAAAAAAAAAAAATTTTTTAAAAAATTCCAAACCCCCCCCCCAATCCATAAAAAATAAAAAAAAAAAAATTGGAATAAATAAAACCATCCTAAAAATAATAAATTTTTCCCCCAAAAAAAAAAAAACCCCCCCCTTTTTTCCCCCCCCCCACCCCCTTCCCCATTTTTCCAAAAATTCCATCCCCCCCTTTCCCCCAAACCCCCCCACCCCCTTCCCCCCCCCAAAATCCTTTTTCCCCCCCTTTTTCCCCCTTAAAAAAATCCCCCCCCCAATTTTCCCCCCCCCCCCCCCCCCTTCCCCCAAATTTTCCCCAAAAAACCCCCCCCCTTTTTACCCCCCCCCCCCCCCCCCCCTTCCATCCCTTTTTTTAAAAATCCTTCCACCCCCTTTAAATTTTTTTTAAAAACCCAAATCCATCATAAACCCCAATCCAACCCCCCAAAACCTTCCCTTCCATCATTTTTTAAAATTTCCCCCATCCTTTCCCAATCCATCCACCTTAAAACCCAACTTCCATAAAACCCCCCCCCCCCGGGGAAATTTTTTTTTTTTTTTTTTAACCCCATCCATCCAAAACCCCCCCCCATCCCCCCCCCCCTTTTTTTCCCCCTTTTCCTTCCCCCCCCCCAAAATTTCCATCCTTCATCCATCCCCCCCCCCCCCTTCCATCCCCCCCCCCCCCTTTTCCCCATCCTTCCATCCCCCCCCCCCCCCCCCCTTTTTTTTTTCCCCCCCCCCCCCCCCCAAAAACCATCCCCCCCCCTTCCCCCTTTCCACCCACCCTTTTCCTTCCTTAATCCCCCCCCCCCCCCCCCCCACCCAAAAACCCCAACCCCCCATCATCCTTTCCCCCCCACCATCCCCCCCCCCCCCCCCCCCCCCCCACCCCCCCCCCCCCCCCCCCCTTTTTCCCCCCCCCCCCCCCCCCCCCCCCCCCCCCAAATCCCCCCCCCCCAAAAAAAAAACCCCCCATCCATCCCCTTCCATCCATCCCCTTTCCCCCCCCCCCCCCCCCTTTTTTCCCCCCCCCCCCCCTTTAAACCATCCATCATCCATCCATCCCCCCCCCCCCCCCCCTTCCTTCATCCACCCAAACCCTTTTTCCCCCCCCATCCTTCCCCCCCCCCCAAAAATCCCCTTCCATCTTTCCCCCCCCCCCAATCCCCCAATCCTTTTTTTTAAAAAAAAAAACCCCCCCAAAAAAACCCCCCCCCCCCCCCCTTTCCCCCCATCCCTTCCACCCAAAAAAAAAACCCCCCCCCCCCCCCCCCCCCCCAATCCATCCATCCATCATCCATCCATCCCCCCCCCCACCCCCCCCTTCATCCCCCCCCCCCCCCCCCCATCCCCCCCCATCCCATCCCCCCCCCCCCCCCCCCCACCCCAATCCATCCATCCCCCCCCCCCCCCCCCCCCCCAAAAAAAACCCCCAAAAAAACCCCCCCCCCCCCCATCCCCCAAAAAACCCCCCCCCTTTTCCCCCAAACCCCAAAAACCCCCCCCCCCCCAACCCCCCCCTTTTTTCCCCCCTTTTTTAAAACCCCCCCCCCCCCTTTAACCCCCAAAAAAAACCCCCCAAACCCCCTTAAAAAATTTTTTCCCCCTTTTTTTCCCCCTTCCCCCCCCTTTTTTTGGGGTTTTTTTTTTTTTCCCCCCCTTTTTCCCCCCCCAAAAAAATTTTTTCCCCCTTGAAACCCCGGGGGGGGGAAAAAGGGTCCCTTGGGGGCCCCCCCCCCCCAAAGGGTTTTCCCCCCTTTTTTTCCCCCCTTTTTTTTAAATTTTTTTTTCCCCCCCCCCCTTTTTGGGGGGAAAAGGGCCGGGGGGGGAAAAATTTTTTTTTGGGCCCCCCCCAAAAAACCCAAAAGGGGGGGGAAAAAAAACCCCAAAATTGTTCCTTTTTTTTTCCCTTTTTTTAAAAAAAACCCGGGCCCTTTTTTTCCCCCCTTTTTTGGGGGGGAAAAAAAAAAAAAAGGGGGGTTTTTTTTTAAACCCCCCCGGCCCCTTTTTTAAACGGGCCCCCCCCCTTTTTTTAAAAACAAAAAATTTTCCCCTTTAAAAGGGAAAAAAATTTTTTTTTTTTTTTTTTCCCGGCCCCCCGGGGTTTAAAATTTTTCCCCCCCTTTTTTTTGGGGGAAACCTTTTTTTTTTTTTTTAAAAAACCCCCGGGTTCAAAAATTTTTAATTTAATTTTTTTTTTTTTAAAAAAAAAAAAAGGGGAAAAAAAAAAAAAAAATTTTTGGGGGGGCCCCAAAAAAAAAAGGGGGTTTTTAAATTTTAAAAAAAAAAAAAAAACCAAGGGTTTTTGGTTTTTTAAAAATTTTTTGGGGGAAAAAAAAAAGGGGGGGGTTTTTTTTTTTTTTTTCCCCTGTTTTTAAAAAAGGGGAAAATTTTTTGGGGAAAACCCCGGGAAAAAAAACCCAAATTTTTTTTAAACCCCCCCAAAAAAACCCTTTTTTTTTCCCTTTTTGGGCCCCCCCTTTTTTTTTTTTTGGGGAAAACCCCCCCCTTTTTTTTTTTTGGGGGGTTTCCAAAAAACCCCCCCCCCCTTTTTTTTTTAAAAAAATTTTTTTTGGGGGTTTTTTTTCTTCGGTGGGGGGGGAAACCCCCGGGGGGGCCCCGGGTTTTTGGATGACCTTTTTTTTCCCCCCCTTCCGGCCGGGGTTTTTAATTTTTTTTTCCGGCCCCCCGGGGTTTTTTAAAAAAAACCGGGGGGATGTAATCCCAGAACTCTTGTCCTTTATCCAGATGCAACTCAGTCCTGCTGCCATCTTGTTTCCAAACAGCCGAACTGGTTCAGGGTCGTGACCTGTGACCTTTAACATTACCATAATTTCCCTGGGATGTTCTCCTCTGGGTAAAAATCCGTCTCTCTGCTGAATGATGGACGGCCAGTTTGGAGCTGGCCCGAGAAAAGAATGGCTGTCAGGTCCTGCAGCTTTAATTATGGTTTTAATTCAAATGAAAACATTGGACTGCTCTTTTAAATCCAGAGTTTTATATTGAATCTATTTATTCACCTCAGGGATGAAACTAAAGGGAAGCAATAGACATTAAAGTCGGATTTCGGCTGTTTCAGTCGTGTTATTTTCCAGAAAGTGGTGCTGAAAATGTTTAAGAATTGACAGAAACAGCAGGAAATCAGCCATCCGACAATAACGTGTCCGTCACACGTCCTGATGTCTGAGAGGACCTTTATTCCGGCTTGTTTTATCTTCATCTTGCCCTGCTGTGTGGAGGACGCAGAGCTCACCTCTCCTCTGCGGGCTGATCTCATCTGACGGACCAAAGTCTGACATTTCCTGCTGTTATTTAGGGCTGACCTGCTGTCAGCTGTTGTAGCTTTTCGTCTTGATGTTTCTGAGGTCAAGAAATGCAGGAAGCTCTTCTGGAGAGCTTTATTTTCATGCAGGTCAGGTTGGTGGAACACGGCGCTCTGCCGGGTGCACAGGTGTTTGTGCAGATGTTCCTCACGTCATTTCTCCCTCATACCTGCCAGGTTTTTTCCTCCATGTTGGTTGTTGTTGTTCCGTCTTCTGTGCGGTTTGATCTACAGCTAATTAAGCTGCAGAGCTGCATCTGAGATGAGGCTCAGCTGTAGCATCTGATGCAGGTCAGCGCGCTCAGCCTGAGCCTCGCCGTCTTTACAGCAGAGCTCCAGTTTATTTATGAACAAACAGCAGGGCTGGATGCGCTGGAAGACACTCAGCCTTCAGTTTTCTCACACTTTGTGAGGTTTTGCTGCTTTTCCACATGTCTAACATCCTTGCTTTGCTTTGTGTGTTTTATTTCTTTAAGGAGCCGTACTACGTGCGATGCATAAAACCCAACGAGATGAAGTCACCGGTTCTGTTTGACGACGCGCGCTGTCAGCACCAGGTGGCCTACCTCGGCCTGCTGGAGAACGTGATGGTTCGCAGGGCCGGCTTCGCCTACAGGCAGCAGTACCCGCGCTTCCTACAGAGGTGAGGCGCATGACCGACCTCAGTGCCGCCTGAGCCTCTTGGGGGCCCTAAGCAGAATTTGATCTGGGGCCCCCCCCTCCAGCCACGCAGAATTACCTAACCTAGAACATTATTGACACAAATGTCTCACTATAGTGTTACAGCCAATATTATAAACCAGGGGTAACATATGAAGGTAGATTTGTTTCTTTATTATTCAATCAAAAAAAAAGGTTGCTTCAATCAAAAAATATATTTTCAATTAAAAAAATCTTCACTTCAATGAAAAAAAAACTTTTCAATCAAAGAAAAAAATATTTGAATGCAAAAATATATTTGAGACTTAAAAAAGTACATTTGTACGGAGTGCCTAAAGGGACATGGAGGGAAAAAATAAACTTTTGCCAGATCCCGCAATAGTTTTGCGAGATCTCGCAAAAGTATTCCAGGATCTGGCAAAAATATTGCGAGATCTTGCAAAAAATAAACTTTTGCAAGATCCCGCAATACTTTTGCCAGATCTCGCAAAACTATTGCGAGATCCTGCAAAAGTATTGCAAGATCTCGCAAAAAATAAACTTTTGCAAGATCCCGCAATATTTTTGCCAGATCTCGCAAAACTATTGCGTGATCTGGCAAAAGTATTGCCAGATCTCGCAAAAAATAAACTTTTGCAAGATCCCGCAATACTTTTGCCAGATCTCGCAAAAGTATTGCGGGATCTGGCAAAAGTATTGCGAGATCCTGCAAAAGTATTGCAGGATCTTGCAATACTTTTGCCAGATCACGCAATAGTTTTGCGAGATCTGGCAAAAGTATTGCGGGATCTTGCAAAAGTTTATTTTTTGCGAGATCTGGCAATACTTTTGCCAGATCACGCAATAGTTTTGCGAGATCTTGCAAAAAATTAACCTTTGCGAAATCCCGCAATACTTTTGTGAGATCTCGCAAAAGTACTAAAAGTTCTTTTTTTCCCCTTCATGTCCCTTTAGGGGCTCCGTACATTTGAACACTGCTTTTCTTTAATTGAAAATATTTTATTTTATAGAAGTGCAGTCTTTTTTGTTTAAAGCAACTTTTTTAATTGAAGTAACGTTGTTTTTTGATTGGACCATATAATGGGTGGGACATTTGTGTCTTTATTATTCAATTAAAAAAGAAGTTGCTTTAAACAAACAAACAATAGAATCAATAAGTTTCTTTAAACAAAAAAGACTGAACTTCTATCAAATAAAACATTTTCAATCAAAGAAAAGCAGTGGCTGGCAGTGGGCTTTAGGCTGCCCTGCAAGGCTTTAAACCTGGGTTTAACCGGAGACTAAGCCATTCTCAAGCACATATCAAGGAGCTCATTTTGAGCCTGGATCCAGATTTATTGTTGATTCTGTTCATGGTGGAGAATCCTGCTTCACAGCAGCAGGTTGAGCCAAACATCCTCTAAATGTGCAGGGTCATCTTTGAGCACGCCATTTCACTTTTCTTTCACCAGCTCAGAAAACTTTTCTTTAGTTTCATGTATTATTTCTATAATCACTAATTGAATCCGTCACTCCTCAGGTATAAAATGACCTGCGAGTACACCTGGCCCAACCACCTGATGGCCACAGACCGGGAGGCTGTGGAGGCCATCATCACGCAGCACGGTTTCCAGGGCGACGTGGCGTACGGCCACACGAAGCTGTTCGTGCGAACGCCGCGGACTCTGTTTACCCTGGAGCAGGAGAGAGCCACCCTCATCCCCATCCTGGTGCTCTTCCTGCAGAAGGTGAGCCCTCACACCTTCATCACCATCATCATCATCATCATCATCATCATCAGGGTCACTTCAGATCACTAATATCAGTGCAGTTTTTTAAAAACCTGTGCTTGTTTTTAATGAGGAAGCACCAGTCAGACGATGCAGACCTGATTTACTCTGTAAAGTTTTATAATCTGAGAAAATTTATTTCCGTTTTGATTCAGTCTAATTATAAAAATAAATGACTCACCTGCCGGTTTGAATCCTTGTACCAATAATTGGTAAATGAATGAGCTCCAGACCACCGTAATGACTGTGACTCGGTGGATCATCGTTCCCTCCTCGCCTTCCTGACTTACTTTAAAGTATTCCCAACAGGGAAGGATTTAGGAAATTTGGGGCCCTAGGCAAAGACAGGCAGGGGGCCCTTTTAATGGAGAAGACAGCACATAAAACAGCCCCATTCTCCAGATAGAGAAATGTTAATAGAATAGACATCCATTATCTGTTCTAGGTTGTGTCCCTCTCTTCTTGTCCCTTTTCTTCTTGTTTTCCTCTCTATGTTTTGTACTCAGCTGACTTTTCATGCTGTCTCTAAAGGAATGAAAGATTTTTTCCAAGCACTAAGCTCACTTAGCTGATTGCTCCTTCCTGTGTTTCCAAAAAGGCCAAAGTAAATAACCCAGTCCTTCTTTTCACTGTAGACAAGCCATGATCTGCTTATCTGTTCTCCATGTTTCATTTGGATGAAATAATAGCTGCATGAATCATGACAGCAGACAAGATAGAGGAGAGCAGGAGGCGGGGTTACCAATCTACTCGCTCTGGAGAGCAGAGTTCGCTGCTTTTAGATGTTGTCTCCAAAGTCTCCAGAAGCAGAAAAAAGTCTCTAGATTTGGCGCTAGGAGCTTTTTAGAAATCAAAGTGCTAGAGGGGTCTGAAAAGTGGCTAAATATAGCGACTAAAGCGCTAAGTTGGCAACACTGCTCTTTGCATGGTTTGTTTTCAGATGGTTTGCTGCTGTCTGTTTGGACCTTTCTGAACATGTGCAGCAAATGGACTGATCCAATATGGTGGACACTGAAGGGGGGGGCTGAGACACACTTAATATTATCAGCGTTCTGATGGCATTTTAGCCGAAGGATTGTTATCAAAAACATAATTAAGGAATAGTTGTATTAACCACACATGTAAACAGAGTTTTATGGGGCCTCCAGGATTTTGGGGCCCTAGGCAACTGCCGGGTATTGCCCATCCTGATTCCACAAAAGGTTAAAAAACGATCCACTGGACTTTGTTTCCAAGTTTGAAGACGTTTTGCTTCCTGATGATAGCGGCGAGGATTCAACTCAACTGCTACAATTTGATCCCTTCCCGCTATCATTGCAGCCCCAACCCCAGTACAGGGGAACAGAAGACCTTGGCTAATCAGCCAGGCCAGCAATTCCCTTTATCAACCCCCCTTTTAGAGACATAGACAGGTATGGGGCATTGCAGGCTAACAAAGAAGCCAAACGACCCCCATTCCAAAGGGGGGGCCCGTTCATCCGTTACAATTTGCATGTATCTAACCTGGAACTCAACGCTATTTCTGACATTTTGAATTGAAAACGTTTCCTGGATGGAAGAGAAACGTCTTTAAACTTGGAAACAAAGTCCAGTGGATTGTTTTTTTTTTAACTTTTTTGGAATAACTACGACTCGGTTGAGTAAGAATCTTCACCAGCATGCTTTGAAGTAGTCTGGGAAACCCGTTTCCTCTTGTTTTCCAGGTGTGGCGAGGCGCTCTCGCTCGTCTCAGGTGCCGGCGGATGCGAGCCATCTACGCCATCATGGGCTGCTACAAGCGCTACAAAGTGAAGGCCCACTTCTGGGAGGTGGAGCGGAGGTTTGCGGGCGTGCGCACGATGCCGGACTACGGGAAGAGCGTGGAGTGGCCGGTGCCGCCCGCAGCTCTGGCCCAGTTTCACAAGATCACCACCGCGCTACATCGCAGGTGAGAATGGAAACTTCACTGGAAGACAATAGAGTCCAGAGATACATGAGAATTTACATCAGATGATCAGAAAGGATCAGAGGCTCCTTGGTGTGTTTAACAACAAGACTCCAACCGGACAAAGCATGGCAGGAAAATCACTTTCTGTCCAAGCAGTGGCGGTTCTAGACCAAATGAACCAGGGGGCCAGGAGGGGGCCAGTGTGTTTTCATGGGGGCCCAGAAAAGCATGAAATAAAAAAACAGGGCAAAGGGTTTAAATATATTAAGAGAGCTGAATGAAGTGAAATTTCTATTCAGTTATATTTAATTAAAATTATATTTCTTATTAGGACAATATACATTCATAATTTAGGAATTTTTACATATTTTGGGCTTTATTTAAGTTAAAATGACCATTGTCTATAGAATCAGAATAAGAAATCAAGAAAAAAATATAAATTCAGCTGCAAAAATTAGAGCTTTTTTTTAATTTGTTTTGAAAACAACATTTAGCAGATGAAAACCGGGATCCTATCTCAATACCCATGAAGCTGTCCTCTTATTATTTTTAAATAATTAGTAAAACATAATTTGTAAAGAAAAAAAAAGAAATTAAATAGATCCAAAGGACCTATCAGTAACCATGTCTGTTCACGTGCATCATTAGAATTTCTTTGAGTATTATGTCTTCAGTGCAGGGGCCATGACATGATCTACAGGGGCACTGGCCCCCATTGGCCCCTGTCTAGAACCGCCCATGTGTACAAGGAATGTATCTTCTTCTGTGCTGCAGCAGTAGATCATCAGGAACCCAAACTATTTTCATTCTGCTGACCGGCCATTCTTCCTTGGATATAAAAAAATAACAGTTTTAAGGTGGATGCAGGGGCGGAGGTAGATGGGGGGGCAGGGGTAGGCCATGGCCCCCCTTAAAGGCTGGTTACCCCCCTGCAGAAGTGTGTCGCAGTGAGCTCATCGCAGATATTTTTGATTTATGTCCAATATTGAAGCGTGGTCTGCGCTGTTATTCCACGCCACGATGCAAGAGGGCCAATCAGGAACTAGCTGTGGGTCTAGATACGGCCGAGGCGGTGAGGAAGTGGGGGCAAGAGTGTGCGACAACGGAGGGACATGAGGGCCAAAAAGAGCGGGGATCCAGGTGGAAAAAGGCTCCCAGCGTTCTCACGCACCTCGCTCTGCTAGCTGGTCCATCTTCACCAGTCGTTTTCCAATATGGCGGTCAGACAAACAAAACAAGCCTGTAAGGAACCAAACAGGAAATACGCATGATGTAGAGTGGATGTAGAATTGACCAATCAGAGGCCTCCTGTCTGCGACACTGTCTCAGCCTTTAGCCAACCATTGGCCACACCTACAGACGGTGGCAGCAGTAAAACTCTCAGGTGGAATATCTAAAACATTTACATTTTTTCATATATATTAAGAATTAATTATCAACAAAAATACTGTGGTTAATTATGCACATCAATATACTAACATTAAAGATGATAAGTACAGAATTAATGCTATTTCAGAGCTAAATTTTGTGTTGCACTGGAAAAACGATCTAGAAATAAGTGAATATTTCTTAAATTAAGTGTATTTACCCTTAATTTGAGCAGGTAAATGAGATGATTTGCCAATGAATGAGTGTTTTTTCTCTCAAAATAAGATATTTAGAGAAAATGCACTTGAAATCAGACAATGCAATTGTGTTTTCTTATTTTAAAGGTAAATTGTTATATTCTATTGGCAAAATGTCTCGTTTACCTTCTCAATTCAAGAACAAATGCATTTTTTTCAAGAAAAAAAATGACTTTTTCAAGTTTCTCTTTTCACATTTTTCATTGGTCTGCATGGATGTTCTGCTCTAACCAAATATTTTTAGTCAAGAACAGATTGGTGTTGGACTTAAAGTGAGCAGAATGTGGTCCAATTTAAAATAATGTAATTAGTATAACTAAATCTGAAAAGAAAACTTTGAAAACATTTTTTTAAATATAAAATTTGTAAAAAAAAAAAGAAAAAAAAAAAGTGTGAAAAAAAAAAAAAAACCACAGTAACTGTGCTGTCTACTCAGATTTAATATTTTTCTGATTTTCTTTCATGTATTATTTTCTAATTTTACTTTTTACTTTTTATTTTTTAAGAGCAAAGTTAACCTCAAAACATTTTTTTTTTTATAAAGACGTTTTTAAAGTTGCATTTTTGGATTGGATCTTTTCCAAATTTCCATTTATAAAATGTATTATTTGCAACAATTATGGAACAACATTTATTCCATACTTTTTAAAGGCAAAGAACTTCAAATTTTGATTTTTTTTTTCTCTGATCACATGGTCAATTTCAAATGAGCAGCTGCAAAACTCTTTTTTTTGTGTATTCATAAAAAAAAAAACTTAAATTAGGAAGGATTTATGATGAATATATAAAAGGAATTAAAAAGGGTAGTGAAAGTAAGCTGACATGAGAACGTTTTTGCATTTGTGTTTTGATCGGCTCCTGGTCAGGTGGTGGGCGAGGCAGATCGTGAAGAACATCCCTCCGTCTGAGATGTTGGAGGTTCGAGCTAAAGTGGCAGCGCTGACCTCTCTGAGCGGAGAGAGGAAGGACTGGGGACTCGGCCGAGCCTGGGAGAGAGACTACCTTTCAAACGTGAGAAACGCACCCAGACACCTTCTACTCTAACCCTTCTACTCTGACCGATCTTAGAATATGATTACAATAATTCACATAATTCACTCCATATGGGATTAGAATGATGGAACACAATTCACTCCTTACTAGGATTAGAATTATGTTCCATCATTCTAATGGGGCATAATTCCACAAGAACATCCATGTTAGGATTAGTGTTGCTCCGATTCTGATTTTTGGCCCCTCATACCGATACCTGGCTGTGCGGTATTGGCTGATACCATCTGTTTCAAATTGATGTGTATATATGAAGAACTACATCCTACTTGGATGTAAAATAATTGCCATCATGGCTTAGTAAAGCTGCTGCCTACCTTTGTGGAGCAGGAAAAAGACTAATACAAAGTGGATCCAGTAGAACTTTTTATTGCCTACCTGGAATGGGCGACAATAGTTGAAGAAACTTTTGGCTCTCAAAATGGTATCGGTGCCCTATTGGTTGGCACACGCCGATACCGATACCACCATTTTAGTGCTGGATCGGGGCGCCGCCTGATACTGGTATCAGTGTGACACTAGTTAGGATTAGAATATTGGAACATAATTCACTCCATTTTAGGATTAAATATTGGAATATAATTGACTCCATAATTAGGATTAAATATTGGAACATAATTGACTCCATATTAGGATTAAATATTGGAACATAATTCACTCCATATTAGGATTAAATATTGGAATATAATTGACTCCATAATAGGATTAAATATTGAATCATAATTGACTCCATATTAGGATTAAATATTGGAACATAATTGACTCCATATTAGGATTAAATACTGGAACATAATTGACTCCATATTAGGATTAAATATTGGAACATAATTGACTCCATATTAGGATTAAATATTGGAACATAATTGACTCCATATTGGGATTAAATATTGGAACATAATTGACTCCATATTAGGATTAAATATTGGAACATAATTGACTCCATATTAGGATTAAATATTGGAACATAATTGACTCCATATTAGGATTAAATATTGGAACATAATTGACTCCATAATAGGATTAAATATTGGATCATAATTGACTCCATATTAGGATTAAATATTGGAACATAATTGACTCCATATTAGGATTAAATATTGGAACATAATTGACTCCATATTAGGATTAAATACTGGAACATAATTGACTCCATTTTAGGATTAAATATTGGAACATAATTCACTCCATATTATTAGTAAACATTGGAACATAATTGACTCCATATTAGAAGTAAATATTGGAACATAATTGACTCCGTATTAGGATTAAATATTGGAACATAATTGACTCCGTATTAGGATTAAATATTGGAACATAATTGACTCCATATTAGGATTAAATATTGGAACATAATTGACTCCATATTAGGATTAAATATTGGAACATAATTGACTCCATATTAGGATTAAATATTGGAACATAATTGACTCCATAATAGGATTAAATATTTGATCACAATTGACTCCATATTAGGATTAAATATTGGAACATAATTGACTCCATATTAGGATTAAATATTGGAACATAATTGACTCCTTATTAGGATTAAATATTGGAACATAATTGACTCCATTTTAGGATTAAATATTGGAACATAATTGACTCCATATTAGGATTAAATATTGGAACATAATTGACTCCATATGGGATTAAATATTGGAACATAATTGACTACATATTAGGATTAAATATTGGAACATAATTGACTCCATATTAGAAGTAAATATTGGAACATAATTGACTCCATATTAGGATTAAATATTGGAACATAATTGACTCCATATTAGGATTAAATATTGGAACATAATTGACTCCATATTAGGATTAAATATTGGAACATAATTGACTCAATATTAGAAGTAAATATTGGAACATAATTGACTCTATATTAGGATTAAATATTGGAACATAATTGACTCCATATTAGGATTAAATATTGGATTATAATTGACTCCATTTAAGGATTAAATATTGGAACATAATTGACTCCATATCGGATTAAATATTGGAACATAATTGACTCCATATCAGGATTAAAATGATGGAAAATCCATCCATCCATTTTCTGGCAAGCTTAACCCTTTAAAGCCCGATCCAAGAATAAAACAAAACAGAAAATTACTTTTTTTTTTGGTTTGAAGCCCTTTTAACAAAATATGTAAAAAGAAAAAACAGAAATAAATTTTTGATATTAATAATTTATTACTATGCGATTAGTCAAGATTATTTTTTGTGTAGTCTTCTGCCCTCTGGTATATCTGATTATGTACAACAAAAGTTTTTACCATTAAATTATGCAAAAAGGGGTCAGACCCAAAACATTTCAGAAACCGTATGTAAACAACCATTCACACAAACACTCACAACTAAGCACAATGTAGAGAAGCAAATTAACCTAATAGTCATTGTTTTTGGAATGTGGGAGGAAGCCAGAGTACCTGGAGAGAACCCACGCATGCTCAGGGAGAACATGCAAACTCCATGCAGAAACACCCCGGGCCGGGAATTGAACTCGCAACCTTCTCGCTGTTTTACCCACTGCACCACTGAGCAGCCCTAAATGATGGAACATATTGACTTTAATTCATGTATAGAATAATGGAACTTAATTCAGTCCATGTCAGGATTAGAATATTGGAACATAATTCACTCCATATTCGGATTAAAATATTGGAACGTATTTCCCTTCATATCCCATGATTCCCAACCCTGGTCTGGTTTATAAAGCTTACATCTTCCAGGCAGATTTCTTCTCAGCCATTAGATGACATTTCCTCAGACTAAAGGTTTCAAGTCCAGCCAGTAAAATGCAGCAGATCAGAACCGCCAGTTCTGACTTTGCTAAATTTAAATGAGTCTAAGCGATACATGTCCTCAATACATAGACTATTTTGGTAAAGTCAGACTATAATAAAATAAGAAAGCTAATAAAAAAGGACCACATTCAGCACCATGCCTGGCAGTAATCAGACCTGGTTGCTTTTCTTGACACTAAACTCATTGTTTCATGTTGAGTAATAGTTAATCAAACCATTTTTAATTTCATCTTTGATATAAAATCATTTGGATCGGAAACATTTTTAGTGAGACTAATATCTGCGTGAATATTTATAATGTTTGTTTATATCTCTTGTGTAAAAAGCAACATTTTAATGTCCTTATCTGAGGAGTTTGTCGCTGTTCTTCGCTTTGCCCTCTGGGTTCCCTGTGGTGGTTTTTCCTCCTGCCACGTGTTTTCTGGTCGCCACAAACGGTTCAGTGTAAAAAACAGAGAAAATCCACAGAGTTTTTGTTTCACGCTTTAGGCTGAATTTTCCACTCGGTTTGGGTCTCTGTAAACAGAACTTGAATGACCAGCAGTGTATAGGTTGGTTGTTGTGGACGTATACGGTGCGTGTGACGTGCCTCAGGCTGTGGAGCGTGACCGAGGCGGGACGGTGCTGGCAGCCCTCCTTTAATTAATCCCACTGTTGCCTCATTTAGCTGCTAATCTGAGGAGGTTTGGCGGCTTTAAAGACGCCTTCAGGCGGCTCCTGCATGTCCTCGGTTTCTCCCCTCTACGCTTTGTCAGGCGGCCCGTGACTCTTCGGCCTCCTTAGGGGCCTCAGACTCATGTGACCACATTTATTCCACAGTGACCCACTGGTCCGCGCTCTGAACCCGAATCACGGCTTAAATGAGGCTAATGTGGTTGATTCTAAGCAGAACTTAGGTCGATCTTTTACTGTCTTTCCAGTTGAAACTTGACTGCAGAATCAAAACATCTCGGCAGATGTTGAGCATCTTGTGGAAACTTAAGGAGCAAAACCTAATTAATGTTTCAGGCCTAATGAAGAGGAGGATGTGGGAAACTTTAAATGTAGGAAACTGCAGCTTGGAGACCTGAGTTTGACCTCTTGTGGTTAAAATGTGGCTCGAAATCAAGACTCACTGAACATTTTTTTTTATTTTTTTTTATTTAACCTTTATTTAACCAGGAAAAAATCCAATTGAGATTAAAAACCTCTTTTTTAAGGGAGCAAAGTTAAGATATATTAAAAATAGATACATTAAAATAAATGACAGGTACATAAAAAAACATATCAAGTGAAACAATTACAGATCATTGAGGCTCCTTCAAATTCTTTCACTTTCAACTTAAAAGCATTTAAAGATAAAAACTCAGTCAATTTCCAGTTTCTCTGTAAAAAATTCCACGGACAAGGAGCAGCGTAGCTAAAAGCTTTCTTCCCTACTTCTGTGCGGGCAAAAACATTTGAGCCTATATATATATATATATATACATATACACTCCCCGGCCACTTTATTAGGTACCCCATGCTAGTAACGGGTTGGACCCCCTTTTGCCTTCAGAACTGCCTCAGTTCTTGGTGGCATAGATTCAACAAGGTGCTGGAAGCATTCCTCAGGGAGTTTGGTCCATATTGACATGATGGCGTCACACAGTTGCCACAGATTTGTCGGCTGCACATCCATGATCCGAATCTCCCGTTCCACCACATCCCAAAGATGCTCTATTGGATTGAGATCTGGTGACTGTGGAGGCCATTTGAGTACAGTGAACTCATTGTCATGTTCAAGAAACCAGTCTGAGATGATTCCAGCTTTATGACATGGCGCATTATCCTGCTGAAAGTAGCCATCAGAAGTTGGGTACATTGTGGTCATAAAGGGATGGACATGGTCAGCAGCAATACTCAGGTAGGCTGTGGCGTTGCAACGAGGATCAATTGGTACCAAGGGGCCCAAAGAGTGCCAAGAAAATATTCCCCACACCATGACACCACCACCACCAGCCTGAACCATTGATACAAGGCAGGATGGATCCATGCTTTCATGTTGTAGACGCCAAATTCTGACCCTACCATCCGAATGTCGCAGCAGAAATCGAGACTCATCAGACCAGGCAACGTTTTTCCAATCTTCTATTGTCCAATTTCCATGAGCTTGTGCAAATTGTAGCCTCAGTTTCCTGTTCTTAGATCAATTTAGAGTTGCGGATTTGAATCCGAGTTTATTAAACTTGGCTCATGAAACAGAGCCCTGGAAAGTTTGACGGCGAACTGATCATTGTTTACATTTTTAACTAAGCCAATCCTCTGTTAGACCAGATAATTGATGCATTTTTTTTTACGTTCTATCATTGGATGTTGTTCTGCAGACAGGCAAAAATGAACAAACAAAAATGAAAACCTGGACTGTCCGGCCTAAAGCCGCCCCTCTGGAACCGCCTTACAGATATTCCTATTGGTGCTGTATGTTGGACTCATCCAAATGTATAAAACAGTCGTTTACATACTGTTTTTTTCAGCAAATTCAACACTTTTATTCTGAAATATTCCAGACTTCCTGTGGAAGTATTTTTTTTTCTTTTAGAAATTGTTTTTTTCTGTCTGTAGCTGTGATCTTTAATGGGATTTTCCGGGTATTTCTCTCATGATTAGTCTAAAACTAAACTTTGTGCTCCGCCGCTCCTCTCTGGCTCCTGGCCTTGTGACATCACTCCGAGCTTTGATCTGCTGCTGATGGAGTTAATGCCATAAAGGCCTTCAGGCGCTGGGAAAGGTCCCCTGGTCTGGATTAATCAGGTGTTTGCTACATCCAGGTCTGTTTTCTCCCTGCAGGCGCGGGACTGCCCTCAGACCAGCTCTGCCTTCGTCAGAGTCTCCAAAGAGCTGAAGAACAAAGATGGCTACGCTCAGGTTGTCTTCTCCGGCTTCTGTAGGAAGGTACGGCAGACCTGAAAGCGCCCAGTCAGGGAAAAACGTTTCATAACCACCAGGAGTTCTTAATCATTAAATTAAAAATTCAAATATTCAGTTAATTAAAACCCAGCCTGTTCCTGAAAGCTACCAAGAAGTTATGAATTCATTTTATTATCTCCTGGTGGGAAAATTGGGCTTTTATTTCTATAATTGGAACCTTTTTTTAAAGAAAAACAGACCTCATTATATTTAAACATGCGAAAAGAAAAAACCCTGAATCTTATTAAAAATGATGAATCTGCTGCATGAGAAGCTCCTCACAGAGAGCAGGGATGGTCTGAATGTTTCTCTGCTTCCCTCCCAGGTGAACAGATTCAATAAAAGCACAGACCGAGCTCTGCTCGTCACGGACAAGTACGTCTACAAATTAGAGCCGAAGAAGCAGTACAAGGTTCTGAAAAGGCTTCCTTTGGACTCGGTAAGTAGCTGCATGGGAGCGCCACACATTAGCGGTCCTTTTAGAGAGTCTGCTGGGAGTAAATTAACTCGACGCTCAGAGAGCCACAGCCGTCTGATCCTCAAGGATTAAGTCTCCATTACTGTTTGTTTCTGTTATGATTAAATCTCATTAAAATCTGGAACAACGCCTTGAAAAAAAACTATCCCTCAAAATATGCTGGTGAAGATTCTCAGTCATACAGGTCATTGTCTTTCCAAAACAGTTAAAAAAAACAATCAACTGGACTTTTTTTTTCCAAGTTTGAAGACGTTTCTCTTCCCATCATTCCCATTCAAAATGTCAGAAATAGAGTTGAGTTACAGGTTTTATATCAGGGGTAACCAATTAAAAATCAGCGCAGTCCGAATAAATAAAATCATCAACCAGTTAAAGATCCGGAGACATTTTTAATTATAATCTGTTACTTTAAACAGAATTTAACACTGAAAGAAAATGAGGTTTTCATGCATCCATGTTATACGGAAGAGGATTAGGGCCACTGGAAAAAATAAAGTTAACTGATTTTTTAAATTTATTTAAGTTTAATAGGGGAAAAAAGTCAGAATTATGACGTTAATCTCAGAATTCCGACTTTAATCTCAGAATACTGACTTTTTTCTCAGAATTCTGAGATTAAAGTCAGAATTTTAAAATTTATTTCAGTTTTTTGGGGGGAAAAAGTCAGAATTATGACGTTAATCTCAGAATTCTGACTTTTTTTTCAGAATTTTGACATTTTTTTCAGAATTCTGACTTTAATCTCAGAATTCTGATTTTTTTCTCAGAATTCTGACTTTTCTCAGAATTCCGACTTTAATCTCAGAATGCTGATTTTTTTCTCAGAATTCTGACTTTTCTCAGAATTCCGACTTTAATCTCAGAATTCCGACTTTTTTCTCAGAATTCTGACTTTTCTCAGAATTCCGACTTTAATCTCAGAATTCCGACTTTTTTCTCAGAATTCTGACTTTTCTCAGAATTTCGACTTTAATCTCAGAATGCTGATTTTTTTTTCTCAGAATTCTGACTGAATTCTGACAATTCAGCACATTTGCAGGTAAAAAAAAATTTACCTGCAAATGTGCTGACCTTTTGGTGAATTCAAGCCAAACCAATCTGCACTGGATGCAGTCGAGCAGCTTCCAGAAAATGAAATTAGCTCATTTGGTCAGAAAAAGATCAGCATACCCATAATCAATACGCATGCATAAGACCTCAGATTTGCATACACGTATGCTAGTCCCATTATAACTCTAGTTTGGTACAAAAAATACACTTTAAACTACCTCAACCGGCGTAAATCCCTTTAATCATCTACAAGCCCCCCCCCGGCATATGCTTCAAAAACGCCAAAATAAGTAATTTCTTTGTTCCACATTTTGTAATCATATCTATTTAACAAGAAAAACTCCTCATTCGGCTCCATTCAGCCGGGAACAAACCTATGCCCAACTGTTGTCACGTGACCAAATGAGCTCATGCCATTGGCTGGAAGCTTCTGGACTGCATCGAGTTCACCAAAAGGTCAACACATTTTTTTGCAGGCGAATTTTATGCTGGTGAATTTTTTTACCAGATAAAAATTCAGTGTGAGGAATTCAATGTGTAAAAAAATTCACGGTTTAAAATTTGGTGCTAAAAAAATGGACAAAAAAGGCAGATTCCAATGAGCCTGTTTCTCTTCCATACTAGGACAGCATTGTGTTTAAAAACGGAGCCCAAACAATAAGACCTCCACCTCCATGCTTAACATTGAAGGTGTTCATGACTGATTTTCCGTCTTTGGTCCAGAACACAGTTTAACCCTATTTCTATTTTACAGCGAAAATAATCCACGCTTTTACTGGATTGTTGCAACGCATTGCATTCTGCGATCAGCTTGATCAGAGTGATGCTTCTTATCTATTAACACGCAAACACTTATCTCACCACTGGCTGTCTTTTGCTAAAGGTCAGGCCTTTTGCTTATAGCTCCAAAGTCTCCGTTAAATACCAGACGGGCTACTTTTCATGCTGCTCTATGTCTCTCAGAAACAAACCTGTTTACTGGAGCCTCTTAAGCAGGCATACACTGTACGATTTTTTTGGCCATTTTTGGAACGATTCTTCAGACTTTCAGCCTGATCGTGTTGTGTAGTGCACAGACTGAGTGAAAACTTTAATAGTGAGTAAATAGCATAAATCATTATATGAAATAAGAGAAATCTTGCTGCTGTTTCTCCACCTTAGGATCGTGTTAAAATCCACCTGCAAGGTTCAAAACATCACATGAGGAAAATGTAGGGTGTGCTGCAGTTTTCCATGGTATCCAGCCAATTTGAAGTAGCAGCAGTGGAACATATCTATGCTTCAGACTGTGAGGGAGTGGATCAACAGTGCTGAGCAAACAGAGCGGTTCTCCCTCCACTCAGGGAACAGGTCAGCCTTGACGTCGCCGGGACATCCAGCTCATTGTTGTCCTGTCTGGATTAACCTGGGGGCCGTAAGAGGCTTATCATCCTCTCTGTCTCCCTTTCTCTAACAGCTGGGACGCGCCTCACTTTCTCTGTCTGGCCGTCTCTCCAGCGCTCCAGTCCTCACCTCCTTTCTGTCTGAGGTTTATTTTCCGCCCCTGCAGTAAACCTGCATGTTACTCCAACTGGGTCACAGAGCCTTTCCCTTCGCTGCACCTGTACAAACTGGCCCCCGGCTGAATTTACTCCCAGTTCACATCATCTGAGCAGAAACGATCCGTGATTTTTATCCGGAAGACGCACTGCTCTCATCCTGACAGGTATTAGATGTTGATATGATAAACTTCGTATGAAATCTGTGTCACAGTCACTATTCAGGCAGGCACTAGATGGGTCAGATCAGACATCCGGATTATATCCAAAAAAAAAACACAGAACTGCTTATTACTGCAGAGATGGAATTATTAATACATGAAAATGGAGCCTTAGTTTTCTGCAACTCACATATAATTCCCCTTTATAAGTCTTTGCACCAGAGGTTCGAACCCCCTTTTCATACCCTCTTTCCTGTCAGCCTACTGTTAAAAAAAAAACAAAACAAAAAAACGAGCCACTAGTGTCGTAAAAAAACAAAAACAAATTTGAAGTTCAGTCGGCTGTCGTAGGGCGTTCGTGGACAAATCCTGCTGTTTATGCAGAGGTACGATCCGATTTACCGGAACCTCGAACTTTGTGCATGTGCTAACAAGGGAGTTCTTCTTCTTCTTCTTCCAGATTGATGAGTCCAACCAGCGCCATCTATAGGTGCTCAGTTTGTGTGGTTTTTGGACGTACAGGTAGATCGCATCAGAGCGTCGGGCCGCCCGGTTTAACAACACACATCGTTAGCCGTGAGCTTTAAACCCTTCGGTTTGAGCTGTGGCTGGGGACAACGATTGAAAATATCGCGCGGCGTATGCCCAGCTATATAGTCCGGAAAATACGGTAGAAAATTATTTCGCAACAAGGCTAGGCTAACTGCATGCAGCGAGGCTAACGCTTTATTCTGCTTTTTTCTTCCCTTTTCAAACATCAGGATCTGACCCAGCATGAATTAAAACAACTAGGCCTGATTTAAAGCATTTTTCATAACATTTTTAGCCTGGTGAGACCATCCTGATCTCGTGAATTTTCAAGGTTTCACTCGCAGATCAGTCTGGAGACTTTCCGTTAAAGAAAATTTGGAGCCGTTCACCAAACGAACGTCCAATCAGCGTTGGCTTTGAGGCGGGTTGAGGTGTGACGCAACGAGAAGTGCAACAGTTCAGTCTAAAGAACATGGCGGCTTCAGCCGATGAAACTAGCGTTAGCGTGGCTATCGAGCAAGTTTTATGGGAATTACAGAGTATTTCTTCACTGAAAGAAGAGCAAAACACTGCTCTGGAGGCTTTTCTCAGAGGAAAAGATGTTTTTGTTCTTCTCCCGACTGGTTTCGGCAAGAGTAGCCTGGCTTGTGGTTGTGTTTTCGTCGTCGCTCTGTTAGTACGTCATATGCTTCGTTGATCTGATTGGTTTATTTGGCCCGTCTATCACCAACATAGGCCAATCAGCTAACCGGTATTTTCGCCCCTTCCCAAAATTACTTCAACGGAAGGTTTCCAGATTTTTGGAATACGTCTATTTTGAAGTTATAGCCCCCCCCCCCCCCCTGGAGAAAACTCCACCAGACATCACTGATTGGCACCTCTGGAAAGAATGTTGACTCTTCAGCTATATTGTCTTTCAGTGCTGCTGCACGGAGAATATATGAAAGTTGAACCTTCAATTGACTTTATTGGTTTTCTGGCAGAATACACCAGATTTATGTCAAAAGGGTATTTGGAACACATAACAGACCTTAAAGGGGTCATTTAGATGTTACTACACACAGTTCTGACAACTTTGTGCAGAATTTCCTAAAACCATCTTAGCGCTGCCTTCTATGGGTTGAAACCTGGCTACTGCAGTTTAATTATACTACTGTAATGTCTATGGTCCATGGCTGTGTCCGAACGTCCACGCTAACCCCTCCATCACTATATAGAGCGGGGACTATATGGTGGACCTTATAGTGAACTCATTTAATTGACCATTCGGATAGATGATCACTACTTCTCGCTGCCCATTGGTCACGTAACTCGGACTGTGAGCAAAAAGTAGTGATCATCTGTTTGAATGGTCAATTAACTCAATTCAATTCAGTTTATTTCTATAACGCCGATTCACAACACATGTCGAGATGGAGAAAGCGAGGATGCAGAGGGTGGCTAACTGTAAAGCTAAAGAGATATCCTCACAGACCTCCGCTTCCATCAATCCTGTTCTCAAACTCTGAAACAAAATGGATAATCTTCGACTGGAACTCTCCTCAAAGAAGGAGATTAGTAAATCCAGGCATTTTTGACCATTTAAAAAGCTGCAGAATGCTACGGACGGATCTCAACAACACAACAGCGGAACGTAACTGCCGAAGGAAGAGATGCGCGAGACGGAGAAAGCGAGGCAAGACACTAGACTGTTAGGTTTGGTTAGATGAACTGTTTACGGGCCATAAGTATAAACGGAACGTACCATGTTCCATCATGGCGAGCCAGGAGTTGTTATTTTGGTTAGGAGTTTTTTTAATCTGAGCATTTTATCAGCCATTAGCCATCATGTCATTTTATTTCAGGTACAGGTGCTGGTCATAAAATTAGAATATCATGAAAAAGTAGATTGATTTCAGTAATTCCATTTAAAAAGTGAAACTTGTATATTATATTCATACATTACATACAAACTCATATATTTCAGATGTTTATTTTGTTTAATTTTGATGATTACAAATGACAACAAATGAAAATCTCAAATTCATCATATCAGAAAATTAGAATATTACTGAAGACCAATAAAAACAAAGGATTTATAGAAATGTTGGCCAACTGAAAAGTATGAACATGAAAAGTATGAGCATGTACAGCACTCAGTATTTAGTTGGGCCTCCTTTGGCCTGTATTACTGCAGCAATGCGGCGTGGCATGGAGTCGATCAGTCTGTGGCACTGCTCAGGTGTTATGATAGCCCAGGTTGCTCTAATAGTGGCTTTTAGCTCTTCTGAATTGTTGGGTCTGGTGTATTGCATCTTCTTCTTCACAATACCCCATAGATTTTCTATGGGGTTAAGGTCAGGAGAGTTTGCTGGCCAATTAAGAACAGGGATACCATGGTCCTTCAACCAGGTACTGGTAGCTTTGGCACTGTGTGCAGGTGCCAAGTCCTGTTGGAAAATGAAATCTGCATCTCCAAAAAGTTGGTCAGCTGCAGGAAGCATGAAGTGCTCTAAAACTTCCTGGTATGTGGCTGCGTTGACCCTGGACCTCAGAAAACACAATGGACCAACACCAGCAGATGACATGGCACCCCAAACCATCACTGACTGTGGAAACTTTACACTGGACTTCAAGCAACGTGGATGAAGTGCCTCTCTTCTTTTCCTCCAGACTCTGGGACCTTGATTTCCAAAGGAAATGCAAAATTTACTTTCATCAGAGAACATGACTTTGGACCACTCACCAGCAGTCCAGTCCTGTTTCTCTTTAGCCCAGGCAAGACGCTTCTGACGCTGTCTGTGGTTCAAGAGTGGCTTGACACAAGGAATGCGACAGCAGAAACCCATGTCTTTCATACGTCTGTGTGTGGTGGTTCTTGAAGCACTCACTCCAGCTGCAGTCCACTCTTTGTGAATCTCCCCCACATTTTTGAAGGGGTTTTGTTTCACAATCCTCTCCAGGGTGCGGTTATCTCTCTTGCTTGTACACTTTTTTCGACCACATCTTTTCCTTCCCTTCGCCTCTCTATTAATGTGCTTGGACACTGAGCTCTGTGAACAGCCAGCCTCTTTAGCGATGACCTTTTGTGTCTTGCCCTCCTTGTGCAAGGTGTCGATGGTCGTCTTTTGGACAACTGTCAAGTCAGCAGTCTTCCCCATGATTGTGTAGCCCATAGAACTAGACTGAAAGACCATTTAAAGGCTTTTGCAGGTGGTTTGAGTTAATTAGCTGATTAGAGTGTGGCACCAGGGGCCATCAATTTTGAACCTTTTCACAATATTCTAATTTTCTGATATGATGAATTTGAGATTTTCATTTGTTGTCATTTGTAATCATCAAAATTAAACAAAATAAACATCTGAAATATATGAGTTTGTATGTAATGTATGAATATAATATACAAGTTTCACTTTTTAAATGGAATTACTGAAATCAATCTACTTTTTCATGATATTCTAATTTTATGACCAGCACCTGTACTTTGTATCAAACTTGACCTCAGGTTCCCTCGCTGTCACCACTGCCCGACCCCTCCAATCATCCCCAACGCTTGGCTGTGTGTTTTGTCGTCTGCCGCTTTGGTGGCATTTTTAAAGCTCTTCCTGGGGGCGGGGCTTTGCTTTTACATCAGGATTAGTTACACTTAAAGGACCAGATGATGGCCAAGTTCAAAGCCTTGGGTTGATCTTCCAAAGCCATTAACAAGAAGGTTGATGGCGCCGGTGGGGGCAATGCTGATTTTTTTAATACATCTACGAGTTCGTTATTGTCTGACACTTTTAGGGAATCATAGGATAAACATGTTTTGTTCTCTCATCAGTTCACAGGGCTGAGTGTGACCAGTGGGACTGACCAGATGGTGGCGCTCCACACGTCCACACAGGATGACGTTCTACTGTGTCTTCAGCAAGGCGAGCTGTGCCCCAACCAGGATCGAGTGGGAGAGCTTGTTGGATCCATGGTGGACCACTTCACACGGTGAGTTGCAGCGCGTTAGCTTCTGCGTCAAAACGCCACAAAGTCTGTTGAGTTACTTATGTTCACAAAGCCACTTGAAGTTACCCAAAACGATTTTTTTTTTGCCCATATGCGACCTGTATCGGATTTTCTCATGACAGGCCATCTGGGCTCTAACCTGACTCCGCCAGATGGATTTCCTCGCATATCCATCTGGAAACCTTCCGTTGAAGTAATTTTGGGAAGGGGCGAAAATACTGGTTAGCTGATTGGCCTATGTTGGTGATAGACAGGCCAAATAAACCAATCAGATCAACCAAGCATATGACGTACTAACAGCCAGGCTACTCTTGCCGAAACCAGTCGGGAGAAGAGCAATAACATCTTTCCTCTGAGAAAAGCCTCTAGAGCAGTGTTTTGCTCTTCTTTCAGTGAAGAAATACTCTGTAATTGCGATAAAACTTGCTCGATAGCCACGCTAACGCTAGTTTCATCGGCTGAAGCCGCCATGTTCTTTAGACTGAACTGTTGCGCTTCTCGTTGCGTCACACCTCAACCCGCCTCAAAGCCAACGCTGATTGGACGTTCGTTTGGTGAACGGCTTCAAATTTTCTTTAACGGAGAGTCTCCAGACTGATTAGCGAGCAAAATCGAAAGCTTGCGAGATCAGGATGGTCTCACGAGGCTAACTGGGCTCTGTGGTCCTGAATCTGATGCGAATCAGATCTTTTCAAATGCGACCTGTGTCTGAACTGCCTGGTCGCATTTATCCGACCTGAACGCCATTAATATCCGACAAAGGCAAGGCAAATGTATTTGTATATCACATTTTAGTACAAAGACAATGCAAATTGCTTTACATGATTAAAATATAGGAAAAAAGAACAGAATCAAGCAAGTAGGAAATAAAAAAATGAATAAAAAAAAAAAAAATAAAAATGCAGAAACAAAAAAAAAATATGAAAAACTGTTGGACTAAAGAAAAATAATGAACTAATGATGTTTTAGTTGAACTGTTTAACTAGAACAGTGGAAGGCAATCCTAAACAAATGTGTTTTTAGTCTTGATTTAAAGGAACTCAGGCTTTCTGCACTTTTACAGTTTTCTGGAAGTTTGTTCCAGATAAGTGGAGCATAGGAACTAAATGCTGCTTCTCCATGTTTAGTTCTGCTTCTAGGTCTGCAGAGCAGGCTGGAGCCAGAAGACCTGAGTGGTCTGGAGGGTTGATACACTGATAGCAAGTCTGTGATGTATTTAGGTGCTAAGCCATTCAGAGATTTATAGACTAACAGAAGGATTTTAAAGTCTATTCTCTGAGATACAGGGAGCCAGTGGAAGGACTTTAGAACTGGGGTGATGTGCTCTACTTTCTTAGTCTTAGTGAGGACACGGGCAGCAGCGTTCTGGATCAGCTGCAGCTGTCTGATCCACTTTTTAGGCAGACCTGTGAAAAACAACAACCATGGCGGATGATGATGCGGAGAGCAGTATTCATGTTCAACCATATTAAAAAGATTGATTTTTTAAGGTTTGGAAAGATCGCTGGATGCGCTTCAGCGCTACCATCCATGTTTCCTTCCGTAAACACAGAGCCTGCAGGCTTGTGACGTCATTGCGTCCTCTACTGCGCATGCGGGACACATAAGCTGTATGAATGCAGTTCAGACCGGAGATCACATACAAGTCGCATATATTTGGAAATGTGAACGGCAGCGTAAAAAAAATCAGATTTCACTAAAGAAAATCTGAATTGAGCATCAAGGCCTGCAGCGTGAACGTAGCTTTGAATTAACGTCTGCCGTGTTGTTTTCGTCAACAAACTATCTGACTGATGCACTTTGTTTTCATCATGTTTACAAGACAGTGAGATAAACAAGGCTAATTCGTCACTAAAAGATGAAGAGCTGTGTGAGTTTTTGCTGACGGGACGAAAATGTCGGCGTATTTTCTGTCAGAGATGTGACGTTTCTGCCTGTTGTGATTTTTATTCTGAGTCAAAAGCTAGAAAGCGTCACCAGTGCTCTCATCCCATCCTTGTTTGGTATAACCCACCCGAGATGTCCAAGGTATTAATGTTTATTACTCCAGTAGAAGTATAAATCCTACACTTTTCTGGAAGTTAGAGGATTATCTTAAGGTTTTTAAATAAAGTAGAAATGTAAAATTTACATTTTTAAAACTACTTGGATTATAGAATTTAAAGTAATGCAGGAATAAATGTTAATAAAGATGCTTTAAAGCTCATACTGGCTTCTACAATACCTTGTTAAAGGAATATTTTTCTACAATTGTGGGTGGTGGAGAAAATCGTTTTGGTGATATATTGTGTTTTTTGACAAACTGATATAATATCGATCTTTCAGTTCCTACTACTGATTTAGAAATCAAAAACATTTTTACCTAAAACAATGATTGAAACAGGGGCTTCCTCTTCACTGCCACTCTGGCAGGTAGAGCAGTGGAGCCCTTTGCTGTGTGGTGCAGCGCCGTATTGGTAGTTAAGGCTTCCTTCTTATGCATTCCCACTTATTGTTTTTCTGTTTCTCTTTATTATTATTATTATTCCACTTTCCGTACGTTTTTTGGACTCTTTCAACTCCTTCATACTTTATCCGATTTCAACAAATTTGGTATCAAAACGTTCAGCTTCTTCTGGGCTAGTGTGCTATGAATTTTGGTAACTTCAGCTATTATACTTTTTTAAATATTTTGCTTTTTATGACTTTTTTTGGCCCATTGAAATACATGTAAAACTTCAAAAATTCCACTAAATCTTCAGCTACTTTGCCCTTTAACTACTTCAGCATACTTTCAGCTAGAAACACCATTCAACTTTTAAAATGTTTCCGTATCTTTCTGCTATTACTGTTTAACTCGGCTTTCAGCTAACTTTTACAGTTTTGCTTCAGTGAAGCTTCAAACTTTTAAACAATTTTTACAGATTTTAAAATTTATAATGGAAGTCTATGGACGGAATGTTCAGCTGCTAGAGTGTGCCACTCTAGCGTTTTCAAACATTTCACTCATGCCAAACAGCTTCAACTCACTCGCTCATTTTTTACTCTATCTCGATAAATTTTACATCAAAACGTAGGGATTTTTGTCAGGATTCAGGAAATGTAACCCTCATTTGTGTGGCATTTACGGTTTTCTGACAGTTTGGCCCAGACCACGAAGAAGTCACTTTTTTACATCGTCACCACGCCTAGACGAAATATTGTAGAAATATGAAAGTTACACCAGTTGTAGTCCAAAGATGGCTGACGCTCACGGTGAAAGAATTTTTTGAATACCTAATACGGTTTTGGCTCACCGCTCGTTTGTTCGGAGGGAAAGTTTTGCTTTTGAGACTTCTGCTCTACCATTGAGCTGCATGTTATTTAATGAGACCAGCAGGATTTATAAACCTTTATATTTCTCCTTCCCATTAAGGTTGTGAATGAGCTACATCCATGAAAGTTACCCCAATTGGAGACAAAGGATAGCTCTCGCTTAGACTGAAAGAATTTTTTGGATACCATTTACGGTTTGTCTTCAGTACTCGTTTGTTTCGGAGCTGATATTCCCATTCAAAAAAGCCTGAGAGGAAAGGAACGAAAGTGATGCGCATGTCTCTCTTTCACTGACAGGCTCGTTAACGTCGTCAAGGTAACCGTGCTTCAAAGAGATTTTACCTCCACCACTTTAAACAGCACATTTTAATCTAATGGAGGGAGACAACACTGATTTAACATTAGGAAGTGGATACAATATGACTACTGGCCATGACCCTTCCCTTCACATGCAACCCTGATAGACTTTCAAAATAAGACTCCGGGGACCCTTCAAAATAAAAGCCCCTACATTAAACTCATATTTTTTTCCCAGCATATGGCTCAACATTATGACCCAAACTCAACCACTTTTTTAAAAATGAGACTCTAGGGGGTTTTCAAAACACACCCAACAGAAAATTTCAATATAAAAGCCTCCCATTGCCACTTCATCTACTGCCCTAATAACAGGGGAAAGAATGATTTAACGATTAGAAAGTCATCAAGTATCACTGCTGGGTCTGACCCTTTTCTCAACACACAACCCTGCTAGACTTTCAAAATAAGACTCAAGTGACTCTTCAAAATAAAAGCCTCCATATTTTACTCGTGTATTAATTGATGCAAATGGCCCAGCATTATAACCCAAACTCTACCAGCTTGTTTCTATTAGACTCTAAGGACCTTTTCAAAACATACCCCAGAGCAAATTCCACAATAAAAGTCTCCCATTTACGCTCTAATACAGCATCTATTCACCCAATAACATGGAAAACCAGTGATTTCATATTTGGAAATGGATTCTATATCACTGCTGGGCATGACCCTTCCCTTGACACACATCCATGATAGACTTTCGAAATATTGTACGACTAAAGGGACTCTACAAAATAAAAGCCTCTTCCTTACACACACTCATTTATTGTGCTGTATGGCTCGTAGCTATGACCCAAACTCAAACAATTTCTTCAAATTACACTACCAAGGCCTGTTGAACACACACCTCAGTGCATATTTCTTAATCAGGTTCTAAGATTTACACTGTAATAAAGCATCTGCTTACCTTGTAACATGCAGCCTAAGCCTGCCAACGGTGCTGTCATCAACACAGCGGCTCGTAACATGCAGGTTCAATTTTTTGATAAATTCAGCTCCTTAAGTGGTATTAGCTCTCTTTCTATAAGCTTCTCTCTCTGTCCTTCCTCTGCTTGTCATGGTCGGTCTTGCACATAGGTTTGAAGATTTTCAATCCTCTAAGGATGACGTTGTTTTCTTTAAGCTGATCAACCAACACATTTTAAATCATTTCAAATTGTTTTGCCAAGTCTTGACATTTCCACATATGATTTCAAAATTTTGATACTTATTCAATACCATCTTCCTCAACATTTTACTTCCCATTCTTAAGCTACTATTTTTTCTTCAACCAGATAAGATTCAAGTTTTTCTTTGTAATTTCTATTCTGATTCAGCTAATTTCATACTTT